CACAGCCCCCCCCCCTCCTCTCTCCTTCTCCTCTCCCTCTTTCTTGGTCTCCCCTCCAATGTCAGTTTTATTATGGGCTTTAGGAGATAAAATGCAATGATCCACAGAATGATGAATGGTGTGTCTGAGTCTGAGATACAAGAGCACACACTCCAGAGGACAATCTCCCAGCCCTTCTGTGTGTGTGCATGTGTGCGCGTGTGTGTGTGTGTGTGTGTGTGTGTGTGTGTGTGTGTGTGTGTGTGTGTGTGTGTGTGTGTGTGTGTGTGTGTGTGTGTGTGTGTGTGTGTGTGTGTGTTCATCGTCTCCATACTGTTACAATAAATGCTTCCCTGCTGCTCCTGCCCCTCAGAGTCTCTTCTCCTCACCTTAGACTTTGTAAGAAACGGTAAAGCATAATGTTGAAAAGTAGGGCAGTAAGCGGCTGTTTAACCTCTCCATTCACTTCCACTTTATACAACATGACTCAGATTGGCAGCGTCCCGGTGGAACCCTTTCATTTCATGCTCATAATCTCCTTTTTGATGCTAGTTCAGAACTTTTTCCTACAGCATCTAGTCGATTTCTTTTTTGGTAAGACAACAAATGTTTTTTTACAATAACGATTCTACCTGAAAGCAAAGGTCCGAACACATTTGGATATTTACCTTATGAGCCTGGGAAAGCTGAAATGAAAGAAGAGACACATAGAGATTGAATCGTGAATTAGAGCCTTCACATTTTGCATTGACTTTGTGGACGCAGATGTACAACGGGGGTGGGGTGGGGGGGATCCATGCAGATTAATGAAGCTCATAATGAGGAATCATTCCAGCAGCATGAAGAGTAATGATGAGAAAGCAGAGCCACACATGTGCACACGTACTTTATAGTGCAGGGATGGACACTAAAACATGAATCCTGCAACAAACTACAGCTTCAAAATGTGGAAACAAAACAGGATGCTGCACTGTACATAAAAACATACACTGTAACTCATATACAAATGTAAATCGAGAATAAGGACTCATAACTTGGACAATCAGAGGAAGTTATGATACCGTTTCTACCTAAGAAGTAAAGCACTGAAACACTCACAGCACTGTCCACGTAAGCTTCAGTCCACACCGTGTCGTGCTCGTGGTCGATGACCTTCGGGCGGCTCATGACGTGCAGATATCTCATCACGTTCTCCTGAACATCTGCTAGCGTGGAGATCTGACTGAAATATCCTGAGTATAAGAACACATGTATATTACCTAAAATAAGGCAAAACATCTTACACGTGGAGTTATGTATTTGGATTACGGTAATGTTACAATACAAAACAGATTTCGTGCCCAAAATAATCCACAAAATATTATCGCAATATCTATAGAAAACACGGAAACATTTAATAAATGCTACCAATTTGACTTTGTTTATTGTCTGCTTTGTCTCTTTTTTGGCAAATAAATGACACTACATTTGTGTGTGGGTCCTTGGGGGAGAGAAATGAGAACAGAAAGCAACAGAAATGTTTCCCAGAACCTTTTTACATTGTTTGAAAATGAATATCTCATTTTTTAAAGATTTTTCAATACCGGTGTATTGTGACTAAGATTACACTTCACTGATATCTCGTGATGTGATGATGTGGACGTATTGGATCAGCAGCCTTAAGTCCTCCATCGTAAACTTGAATAAAAGTGCTATCACAAAAACGTGTCCAACTTTCCCCAGTGCCCTTACATCATCTTGTTATTTGCTGCTGATGTAAACACTCAGTTTACAGTGACACAGGTGCCATTTTACTCGTGTCAGCCTCTGCTGTTGCTGACAATGACTCATATTGGACATGTAAGGTTATTCCACAGTGGGGGTCTGTATGGGGAAGGATGTTGGGGGCTTGTTTCCCTACAATCCCTCTGTGATCTGTTTTCCTGCCTGTGACTTTCCCTTCCAGAGGGCACTCATCCACAGCGTTGACACGTGGGAGCCATCAGCAGCGAGCAGCCGAGGGGGAGACACTCTGACAGGAAGAGGGATTAGAGAAGATTGACCTCTGACCCCCCCCAAGTGCCACTTCATTGCCTCTTGGCGAAAAGAGTCTGAGCCAGCACATACACATACATGCACACACACAAACACACACTACTCACACATACACTGCCTAACCACACGGTTACCAACACATCCTCAACCGTCGTCGTATCACTCCACAGGAGCATCAGCTCGACTCTGACAGGAAGCTGTCCTGATCAGTGTTTATCAAAAAATCCCAAACCTTTGTTGGCACAAGCCATCCACTTGAGGTTATCAGCAAATGCAGACTCTCGTCCAATCAGGTACGGGAATATTCGCACCTGTGCAGAGGACACATGGATGTCGACAGTTTCAAAGATGGAAGGATTACAAAAAAACATGCAAAGTGAGGCGACTCCTTGGTGCTTTGTCTTCCTGTCCTGATTCTATCAGGCTTTGGAGCAAGAAGTAGCTGCAGGTTTTTACATCCTTGTAAGGAAACACTAAGCATTACGCTGCTTTTTAATCCTTCTATCAACCATCAGTCACTCCATTTGTCTGTATGTTTAACAATAAGTTCTCAGTTTGCTCATTCTGTAGCTGATTTCAGTTCATGTTCTTTTGTCGGGGTTTGGCATTAGGGCATGTTTCTCTGTCCTTTTCAAGAACTCAGTGTGACATTTTGTCAAACCAGCACGGCTCATTGGCTCCAGATGCTTTGCTAAGCATGAAGCATATAGAAATCAGTGAATGGCGGCCCTGAGGGTGTAAGGGGGGGAGGGGTTATTCAGCCAAATACTGGCCTGTACCCTGCCACACACTGCCAGCACACATATGCTGGGTAGGACTGAACAAAAGCCCCTGGGCTGTTGTTTTTATTGCTTTGTGAGTGGCACAGCAAACCATTTAATTTCAATTGCATTTAGGTCTCACAAAGGGAGGCTAACAAACGATTTTAAAGTCGTCCTTGAGTCCAGGAAGAAAGCAGAGGGGGGGGGAAGGGGGGGGCGAGGGACAGAGAAAGAGCTGCTTGCACTGTAAAGAAGGGGGAAATGTTGCGTTGTAATGCACCAACACATGAAAAACTGCATATGATATAGATGGTGCATTACAGAGTTCTGAGTGGTAATGAAGTAATAAACCAATTCCTCAAAACATCAAGACAGGAGCTCCAGCTGACATTAAGTGTTCAAATGTACATTTATCCCTGCTGTAAGAAACATGCTGAGCAAGCAGAACATTCTGAATAAGGACACTAATAACATTTAAAAAATTGACACTGTGAAGAACAGAAGAGAGAGGGAAAGAAAGAAAGAAAGAGAAACCCACCTTTCTTTCTGGCCAGTTGTACTTCTCAAAAACGTCGTCATACATTTCTGTCGCCCCGTCAGTCACGAGCATTATGGCCTGGCTGCACAAACTGCCACGTCCAGTTTGATTAAACTGCAGAAAGACATAAAAACCATAAAGATTTAAAGTAAAAAAAACAAAAATATAAACCATATGCATTGTTATTGAAACATTAAACAAACAGAGCTGTCTGTTTCCATTGTAAATGACTTTGCAGCCATCAGCCAATACAGTACAGATAATGTCTTGGTAAATAAAGAGTGCTCCACTTTATTCTGATGCCAGAAGATGCATCGCAGTAATTAAGTGGTTTATTGACCTGTAACAGAGTCAATGTGGAGAGAGAAAGGAGGGTGTAGTGACACGATGACGGGATTAAACCTGCAGAGCTACTCTCAAATCACTGAGGCCTTCAGATCTCTCTGAGAACATCTTGTAGAAACTGTGATGCCATGTCATGTAAGAAGTGACATTCATGTCTGATAACTGTCTCACCACTCTATCAGGATGTATATGTTCTGGCTTCATAATGGCTGGGCACAGTCATTCCATTATGTCCATCGTACAAAACATATAAAAGTTAATTATTAGAATTTGTTTGAATTGTTATCTATTATTTTATGTTCAATCATAGGAAATAAACTCTTAAGTTAGAAGTTCATCCACACAATTTTAATTAAATGTTAATCGTTTTGCTCACAACAGACCTTTTTTTTACAGTTAACTTTATGATTTGCCGCAGGAAAAAAAAAGCTCAGGTGTAATTAATAATTTTAGCAGTTGCTCTCTTTTATTAAGTTGCCCAGTAAGCAGTGACAGTGAGCAATCATGCACAACACCATGAGTCTGACACTGAGGATGATGATTAAAATTGACCCATAGTTTCATTTATTTGATCTGTTCTAGCACAGTAAAGAAGTCGTTGCAGTGAGCATCCCCCTCCCACAGTTTGTTTGCAATTTTCAACAAGCTCAAAACTCAAATGGCTGATATGAGAGGGTCAACAGCTTCTCTGATTCACCAGATGTCTTCATTTTCTCTTTCACTTCCTCTTCTTTCCCATTGTTTAACAACCATCACAGCACATACACGCTATGTATGCTTTCCTTGCTGGTGTTGCTGATTTGAGCATGCTCTGAGTTTGTTATGTTTATTAAAAAGAAATATATTATTTCTAATGTGGGGTCTCTATTCCCTGAGGCAGTGACAGAGTGAGTGCCTGTACTGTCTGCTGCTTAGCATCTGTCCTTCAGCTTAGCGCTTGTTTGAATATCATGCCATATGTTTCAGTATTGTAAGTAAATAAGGATGAGTAAATCTAAATGTTAATGATAAAAGACATAATCAATGACAGGGATCGTTAAACAATTGATGCTGATACAATCTAATCAATCTCCACCTTAGAGAGTTAAATCAATGATCTTGTTATAAAATCATTGAAAAAGGGAAAGATTTGGGAATAGTAATATATGGTGAAGTTTTACTATGCTCCCTTTTTTAGTATTCTTCCACATCATCTGCCTGTGAGAGGGGGAGACGGTGCTTTATTCAATATCGGTTTTTTTCTTAATCGTAACACTCCTCCTGTGAAAATGGTGCAGTGCTCTTCAAGTGAAGCATGTTTCTCTTTGATGTGGTCTTTGATAGGATGCATTTCGACTTCATTCACTGGGCAGCGGTGTAGCAACGACTTTCAGCGGTAGGATACTGGCTACCTGATTACCATATTCATTGCATGGCTTTAATTAATCTGAAAAATGCAGAGGTAAAAGCTGCAGTCCCTCAGCGGCGCAGGAAAGCTTGCCTGAAATCAGGGAGATAAAAAGGAGTGCGGCGTGGCTCCTGGCCTTATCTGCTTTGTGTTCCAATCAGCCACGTTATTAATCATCAACATTAATTAGAGCCATTAATCATGATTCAGTATAGATGTGTCTGTGTTTGGAGGGCGGAACAGGGATAGCGCTGGAGCGCTTCGACAGCCGACACACCTCCCAAACGCTCAAATATAACCGACTGGAGTGTGCTACTTTGAATGATTAGCAGAGAACATGCAGAGGGTTGTACTTGAACACTTCCCTTCACTGAAAAAAAGAGTAGTTTATAAAATGAAAGTTTTCCCCATGTTCACGTGAAGTCCTTCAGTTAAATGAAACCTGAGCAGATATGTCATAACAGGGAAGATATTCATTATTATAAGTTCAAATGAATCGATAAATACATGATTAATGTTGGGAAAACTTATGAATACTCAACAGAATTGTCACACAATCTGTTAACAGTAGACTTTAGGGATATATTACTTCAGTGGAATATAGACTTGCTTTGTGTTTGCACAGCATCCCTATCAATGTGTCAGTCGCAGAGTGAGAGAGGTTTACTTTACGGGAACTTACTTCATTCAGGATTGTGAACGCTTCAGCCAGAGCGACGCCCAGCAGCCCGATCCCCTTAGCAAACAGCTTTTTCAGATGTTCGCGGAAATGCTAGCAATAAAAACAAATATAAACATTTTAAACATCAATCACAGAAATTCAAGCTGAAATAATCCACATACATTCATCACATATCAGAATGAGCTCGACTCACGTCTTTATTGGTCCGGTCGGCTCGGACCAGAGTGCCATTCAAACAAGGCTCCACATAGTGGATCTCCTGATTATACTGTGGGATGCAAAAACATTTAGATACATCCATACATACCGAGAAATCCATACTTAACACAGAAATGTGACAATATTTTGTTAAGATTACATACAGTGAAACCAGGCTGAAGACAGAGACATGCACAAACATACAAACAAATAGAGACACAAACTAAGGAAAAGTTGAAGTAAAAACGTACTGCAATGACATTGAAGAAGTCATCATCTCCAAGTGTGTCTAATATGGAGGAGACCGTCTGCCTGGCGATGGTCAGCCTCAGTCCTTTCATGCTTCCACTCACATCGATTAAGATGACTACATCTTTAGGGGACGTTGCTGCTTGAATATACCTGGAATGTTACATAACACATTTTGACACCTTGTCGCAGTAATAAGTAAGACATTGAGAAATATTGCAGACAATAAAATGCAGTAATAGAGCCAGAGCAGCACATTGGGGTCTAGTATGTAGAGGCTTACCACTTCCTGTTTCTACAGTCAAATCCAATCACACCATGTTCATCTGGATGCCACTTTACTCCTGCAAAGTAGATCAGAAAGTAAGCAAAGAGAAGGAATGAGAGATATTAAATCACAACATTTCACAGGTAATAAGCAACCTGACAGATGAACTGCACCATATAGTGCATTTTGGGTTATTTTATATTTAAAGCTGACTGCATTAAGTCATCACAAACAAGTTATACTTTACATTCACAGGGAGGTTACCAACAATGCTGTAAGTTTAAAAGGCTTTGTTTTTGTTTTTAATTGGTGACCATTAATTTAGTTTTAGATTAATTCAATCTTATTGTTGACTAACAGAACAAATTCACTGTGTACAAAAAAAACGTCTTACATTCAAAATGTTTCTAATTATAAAAATATAAAAAGTAAATAAATGCATCATTAGCTAAATAAACTGCAAAAATAGCCCAAGTACTATATTACTATAGTATTAGATCATTATAATTCAACTGGATACATTAAAAGCTATGAAAAACTTTTTTCTCAATAAATTATTTTACTGTGAGAAATGCATTCCTGCATGGAAATACATGTTTTTGCAAAGGATAGAAGAGTTGTCGTAACTTAAAACAGGCGGGCCTCAGATTAAACCACGTGTTGTCACATATCTCTGAGCACCACACAGACACAGTCCCGATGAAGCAGTTGCACTGTTAATTGCTCAATAAATAACAACTTAAAATGGTTGATCATGTCACGGATATTTAGGATCATTGGCTTTTAGCATGTACCTTGATGTTGTAGTTAGTCAAGGAGAGGGTTATTATTAACTGCATATATACAAATATACCATATCTTCTAAACTGGTCCTATCTTTTGTATAGAAAATCTTTATCTGAAAGGAGGGGGAAATAAATGTAGTGAAGTGAAAAGTGTGAAATCTCTCTTTAGAGTAAAAGATAAAGGTTCAGAAAATAAAGGTACTCGAGTAAGGTTCAGGAGATGTCACAGGCCCAAGTGCTTGAGTAAATGTACTTAGTCACTTTCCAATACTGTCTACGGTATAATCTACGTATTTTGGGGATCTATCTGTCTTTATTCATTTGAAAACTCTATGTACAGTACAATACAGAGTCTATGTCTGTATTGTAATATCCTCATCAGCTGTCTTTCTGTAGCGCTACCTTAGCACTGCAGTGTTTCAATGTAACAGTCTGATGGGTTCGGTTGGATCCAGCAGCCACGCACTGTTCCTCAGCACGACAGCAAAACCCACACCGGCAAATTCTGATTAATTACAGTCTGAATATATGCATCCTCTCTGATGGTCTGTAAAATTACAACATTAGCCAAATTACCCCTTTAGTGATTCTAAATCATTTGTTCTGATCTGGGTTTTTTTGTCTTGTACTGTCGTATGATGGTTCCCTTTCTTTTCACACACACACACACACACACACACACACACACACACACACACACACACACACACACACACACACACACACACACACACACGACAGACAGTTAAAAGCAACGACAGACAGACAGACTGACGCATTGACAGCACTCACCAGGGTACTGCCTGAAGAAACCTTTGGCGCTCCCAAAGTACTGCCAGATCAGCGTTGGGTCTCTTTCAAAATTATCCACAAATACTTTATTCAGAGCCTCGGACCAGTAAACCCCGTTCACTATATCAGGATCTGAGGAGGACGTGGGGAAAAGGCAGAGAAAAGAGGAGAAACTAGTTAATTAAATGGTGATAATAGTCATCATCCTGGTTACTATTACAGAGTGCACAGTTGACCTTTGTCCCTTATTGACCCCCCTGAAGGAGATACAAAGCCTGTGACTAAATCATCCCCTTCCCTCCTCCTGCTGGACGAGCCTCCCTTTGTGCTGTGAACAGAGACTTATGGGGAGTTCATTACAGCCAAACAAAAGCTGCCCTGGTGATTCACAGAGCGAGGTGACACACTCCGTTAAAAAACAAGAAGCGACTTAACAGCAAGCGTATGACAAACATCTCTTCCACCCCACCCCCTGCTCACCACTCTTTTCCAGTCTCTTTGAGAGGTCTGCAGTTGCTTTCCCTTTATGTTTGGACTGTTATTGATCCCACAACTCCACTTCTCCCAGGCCGTGACACTGATACAGAATTATCTACCATTTCTCTCTCTCTCCACTTACTTTCCTCCCTCCTGTTCTCCTCCCAGTTCATCAGCCCACAGTGGGTGAATATCACTGACATGATGACAGAGCTCTCACCTTTGTTGTACATGTTGGTCGGCACCTGCACCACACTGAGGCTCAGGTTGACTGACAGGTTATTGAAATGGTCGTTGGGCTCCAGGAGGAACTCTCCGCCGAGCTCTACGTTATTGCCCTCCTCATCCACCTCATTGATCAGCACGGCGTTGAAGTACTCGTACTGAGGAAAAAAGAGAATAGTTTTACATTAACTGTAATAAAACTTGATATTGTGTTGGTATTAGTGCTTAAAAGATAGGTTAGTTTAAACCAAACTAGCTTTAAGCAATTCTTCCGATCTCAAATGTAACTGAAGAAATGTATCTTGCTTAAATCATTTTCCATCAGGTAAACCTATGAAAAATTATCTTCAAAAAGGGATTTTAATGTAAGTGATGGAGTAGAAAATACATAGTCCTGGTCTGTGCAAAAATATCCACTCTAAAGTTTAACCAAAGTCTGAGCGTTCCAAGTACCTCTAAAGTTAGTCGTTTTAGTTTTAGCTAGTTTTAGACTCTGTTTCCCCTGACAGTGAGGCGGAGGGAGAAAGACACAAAGATATAATACGGGATAGATTTTATCACGGCCAATATGGACAGGAACAACTATAAGAATATGCATAGCATTGTAAGAACTGTTGAATGTAAGCAGACTTAAGGGGTTACACTCTTTTCCTTCATAAAGTTAATGCTTTTCTCCCACGCAATATTTATCAAAACATATAACAATGTGAGCTTTGTCCTCACAGCAGAATAAGCTCATAATAAAGAAAAAAAAAGTAAAGATGACAGAATGAAGTACTGCAAATAAAGCAAGTATCCCAATCAAATAAGATAATAAAATAGGGTTTAAATGATTCATAATTACATGGTTTCATAGCTTCCCACAATCTGGAAATATTACACAACATGTTTATATTGCATTTATTTGAAAGAGGCTTATGACTAAAATTATCCGAGTAATTTCCTCCAATTACAAACAACATTTGTGATACATTTGGTGGCTTGCTCAGCGACGCTTTGCTTTGTGAAATGTGCATTCACTACAGCAGCTCTAATAGTCAGTATCATGTAAGGAGGAAGTGCAAAAAGGACTTCATGGCTGCTAGTGAAAAGTCTTGCCTCTTTAAAGTGAAACTCAACAGTTTGTCTGTCCTGTCCTTCACTACCTGCAGAAGAAGGACTACCCCATCTGAGCGGCCTCTCTGTGGCCTGTGCTTCTTATATTGGCTGCACCAAGAGAGGGAGGAGGAGAGGGAGAGTGAGAGAGAGAGAGAGAAAGAGAGAGAGAGAGAGAGCGAGAGAGAGAGAGAGATGGGTGATGGACTCTACAGCATCACACTCGGGGGAGGCCGCACGGGCATCACCATCAAGCAGCCGCTGACAGCTCATACCACGCCTGAGCAGCTCCCTGACGAGCTGCGGCAGGGCGGGTGGTGGTGGTGGGTGTTGCTGCAGAGGGGAGCAGCGGGGGAGAGAAACGTGCACCCTCAGCAGAACGGATAGTGCTGTAGAGAGGCACGTTAACCACCAGGGTTATTACTGAGCAGGCCATGGGACACTGCAGCTCTCTGAGACGCCCCACCGACTCGCACCACCGCAGTTAGCTGGAGGCCCTGCTGCAGAATGAGGAGCTACATTACGGGCTACTGGGTCTTAATGTGTACCGCCAAAGTCTGGAGACAGTTGGTCCAAATAAGACTTCTCTCTTTTCCCGGAAGGTTTAACAGACCCTGACTTTGCTGCGTTTTCTATAACGAAAAGCTTCGTAGTCGAATAACTTGTTTAGAAGCTGCACACTGCGCACTGATTTTTTACGGATCACATTGTTCAAGGGGACGTGTTTTGTTAGATGTTCTGTACAGTAATATTTGATGCACAAAAAATATACTTTATTTTATAGCACAATCCCCCTATAGTTGTATCTTTGATATAGGCAAAATACACTCTGGACTGTACTATAACAAATAACTACATTATTTTTCTTAAATATGATTCTTAGAAACCACTGTGATAACAGCAACCAATAAAACAAATATAGTCATGTAGCATTTTAATAAAATACTTCTCTTCCATTTAAATGAACGTAAAATACTAAACATTCATTTTAAATCACACAATACCTTTTATGTGCTTAAAAGATGCAAGGGGAAAAAGCAGTGGGCCTTTTCCTTAAGGCTTCTTAAGAAAAGGTTTTGGGACAAAGGCTAAAAAGAGCTTGAATGCAGACAAGGAACATTAAATGCAAACACTCTGCTGCTTAATTTAAAATTATAATTTAGATAACATTAACATTTCCTATTTCTGACATATATCCAAATGTTCCTGATTTTTACATCAGACTATTTTTCTAGGTCCACATAAATGTTGAGAGTTAAAGGTTAAGCTCTATTAGAAAACATTAAGCCAAAGACACTTTAAGCCAAGAAACCTTAATGTAAATAACATTTTAGAACCAAGTCTCTTTTTGCAGATTTGATCTGCACACCCTTGAACTTCTGACTATGATCGGGTCAATGCAAAACACCGACTGTCCTGACACGAAGCAGCTGAGATAAGAGCAGCCGGCTTATCTCATTGTGGTCAGTGAAATGGTGCATGAAAAATGTGCAGTGTCAGGGGAGGCGAGGCTGCTAAATGATGCCACGAGGAGTAATATCATGACATCACATCATTATCGCAGGATATGGAATTTTCCTTATTATTTTTATGGCCTTTAAGATGAAATGTCTTTGATGGGCCTGTGCTGAATCCAATAGCTTGAAAAAATAATCTAAAAGCTTAACTTAACTAAATCATTTATTGTCATATAAAGGTATTTAAAAAACAAATTCATAGTTAGAATATAAACATATATTTGACCTATAAAAAAGATCCAACGCACCTACAGTATCATAAAGTACATTTTGCAGAATTGTTATGAAAATGTTTTATCTAAAATATATATTTTTAAGGAATTTGTATTAATACTGGTGTTGTATTATATTTGTGGAGTCCATATATATTGTTCGATTTAAAGATTAATGGTTTGAAAGATGAAGATAAGAGATATATTGGCAATGACATTTGGAGAAGGAAGCATTGTTTAAAAAGATGATAAATAACATTCATTAAAAATATGTAATAAAAACAAGTCCTATGGCTTCATGCATAAATCTTTCAGTAAAATATATTTTTGTAAATAATTAGCTTTAGAGGGGAAATCCATACTGTATGGAATATGTATTAAAGAAGAGGTCAAATATGATTAACGATGAAAACTAATATATAACAATTCCTTATTATTAGTCAAAACGTATCAGTCGTTTTTTTGTAGAAAGGGCTCAAAGGTGGGAACAAGGAAGGGAAATGCATTCCTATGATGTAAATGCTACTATTAACTGTAAAGTACCGTCGTTATTTCAGTGTTTTGTTGCTCGAGTGGGTTTCCAATTTAGAGCCATGAAAGTGAAACAATGCGCCGCGCAAAAGAGTTTCATTTGTCTTTGTCCGGGGAGAGAGAGAGGGAGGGAGAGACAGAGAGATAGAGAGAGAGAGAGAGAGAGAGAGACAGAGAGAGAGAGAGAGGGAGAGAGAGAGAGACACCAACAAACCACAGAAATACTGCATTTCCTCTGCAGACACTTGGAGGCTCAGTGTGCCGTGGAAATCCGCACTGTGAGAGCCTCTGAACAACGTCCTGAAAAGCATTCAGTGTAAAATACGACTAAAATGAAAATCACTGCAGGCCGACTTCTATCTCCGTTTTTTAAATCGCTGCCTTAGCCACAAAGAACGAGTCCTAATTATCTCTCTCCTGGAAAAGGTTACTACTTTAATCGAAATATTTAACCATGCATTACAACCTGCAGCACATCTTTTAATTCTGCATTCATCAGGACACATCTGCATACTGTAGCCTATAACAGTTATTCGCTCACCGGCTGCAGCAGCACAGGCTTGCTTTGAGCAACGATAACATGTAAAAACAGTCAGTGTGAGTTATGGCAGCATGGCACTGCAGCCTTCAATATGTGCGACATTACTTATCAAAGAAGCGTTATGTATCAAAGCGCTGACAGGACTTGAGTGTGAAGGGCGATGCCAACGCAATTAAAGACTTTTAGGGTCTATTACCCTTCTCTAACCTTGCAGCATCTCCTCCCTTGCCCAACTAAAAATAATGCATCCTGGTCTAACACGATGTCACACCTATTTTAAAGAATAATTATATCCCTCTTTACTTTTCTTTGTCGGGGACAAACCTCACCTGCAGGTCGGGATTATCTTCATGCTGATGGTGCGCTTCTTCTGCTGCCTCCACCAGCCGCTGAGGGGCGGATAAACGGTGGTTAATAATGTCGTAAAGGCAAGGTTATAGGTTAAAACATACATGCAACTCAATTACAAAAAGAAAAACGTTGATATTTACATTAGGGAAATATTCAGAATTCGCTTCTCTATCCTTCCACAAACTTCGACTAAATCCATTTATTCCCAGAAGTTTTTCTACGCAGCTCTGTGTATTTGTCAAACGTGCTGTTTTTGCCACTCAATTATTTTCAACTTTAACAAAATGTCATTCCATTGAAGAGGAACATGATGGAGGACCAATGCCTGACTTTAGATTAATCTTTGGACGGAATCCATGTCCATCTTTAGTTTTAAATTGAACTCAATAATAGGTTTTGTTGACATAACTGTTAGTTTGTTCCTCTTGGCAAAAGTTGTGTTATTTGTTTGTAAGGACACAATTATGCATAAAATGTAGGGCAGTCCTACTGTGGAGTGCAGCTGTGAAATGATTGATGGAGGCAGGATTTCATGCAGCGATAATAACTGGATTCTGTAAAATGTGCTTTGCTCTGAGTTTCCGGGGGAAATGCCACCTAAACGCTATGCCTAAACGTTACAGTCACAGTCACTCACATCCTCGAGCCAGGTAGGTAATTAACACCTCTCACATGTGTCAAAATAACTGCTATATAAACACAACTGGGGCGCTGTGGCAAAATGCAATTGACCTTGCGGTGAGATTTCATGTCGTCAGCAGATGGAAAATAAAAAAATAACATCAAGGAATAAATATATTTTTTTCTGATTTATAATAGAGCATATGCATGTTTTAAACCTGCAGACAGGCGACCTACAACACTTTATTGAGGTAACTTCCTCATTTTAAACTCCTTTTCAATTTGTAGAAAGTGATGACGTCATTAGATTAGTAGCTAGCTTAATTATCACACGTGTAGTTTTTTTTTTACGACCGCTACATTTGTGCCATTTATTGTTTTTACCTCATTTCAGAAAAATACCCTTATACGTCGATGTATCTCATGGAATACAATCATGTTAATTAAATTAAGCGTTTTTGTATACGTGTCATTTATAAACTGAGCTGTCACGAAGTGTCGCACACATGGGATCAGGCGGGGGGAGATAAACGTTATCATTTCCCAGCAGTCCCTGCGAGGTGCAGCATTAAAATGGTTACAAGCTCCTCTGCGCTGGGGTCACAGACAGGCTGCTGCTGGGAGGCTGACAAAGGCTCAGGCCTGCAATAAATTACATGAGACCATATTCAAAACGGAGCTTTCCATTAACAATGATATGTTGGTCTTTGAACACAGCACAATAGTCTGCTTTGTAAGTGATCATGTGCTTGATTTAGGGACTGCAGGAAAATTAGGCCTTTTGTGGTTGAAAAAAAAAATCTTACACTTTATAAGAAAACATATGGCAGTCCCCATTCATATTTTTCTTTTGACCTTTTAAGACACAATGCAGCCTTATCCAAATATCACAAACCAATAAAACAGTGTTCTCCCCTTTTAAACCATCATTTACCAAAACAATAATGTTCACATAGTCTCTCAATCACACATTAGTAGATTTAGCAATTGCAGAAAATGATGGAAAGCTCAATGAAATTCTGCAGATTGTTCCTGAAATATAAAATGCCTTTTTTTAAGAACATATTGCACATACCCTGGTTGCCTCTGCTTTTTTCCAGAACACTTCCTCCAGCTTCAAAGCCAGGTTCTTGACCAGCTTCACCCCATCAATTTCTTCAACTCTGACTGACTTTTCAGGTTCTTTATATTTCTGAAAATAATCGAAATGTGGCATTCACACATATATTCACACATATTGTAACTCTTATAAAACTGAGTGCAAGAAAAAAAACTGCTAACCTAATGAGTTAATGTGGTTGATTAACCGATCAGGATTAACACATTAGGGGTGAATTAAATGTCCACTTAAGACAAAAAAAACAGATAAGATCATTAGGATAATCCTCTATTCCTGTGTGCGTTGTGCAACATCTAAAAGCACTTTTGTTTCCCAGCGTCCCACCCCAGAGAGGATGGGAATTGTTAAACAAGGCTTATAAGAATTCACATGTTGGCTGACAAGCTGCATGCATCCAGTCTCAGATGAACGGTTGATAAAACCCTCCCTGCAACACAGAGTGATTGATAGTCTTTATCCCCTCGCATTCATTGGCTGCACATACTGCTCCTTTATCTGTGATTGGCTGGAGATGGCCATGTTGTGTGGCCGGTGTAGGGGGCGGGGCTGGATCTGAAGGCTATGCATGGTAAGAGGGTAATTGAAATGGAGTCAAAGCACAGGAGAAAGATAATAACGTGTCAAGCTTGGGCGATTCTGGGTAATGAACTACACCTCACATAATGCTGATTCTGCTGTATACACAGGACCTCCAGTGATACAGAATAAAGCCCGCCACAGCTCGGAGGAATATAACATTACATAATCCCAAAACCTGCCTCACACACACACATACACACTCTGAAACACAAAGCAAATAATAACAAAAACCTGATCCTCTCACGCCCTCCAGTCGGATTCCTATAATCCTATCTAAAAATTATACATGGGCCACGTAAGGCACACATTCAAACACATTATCGCCGGGACAAGACGCACACAGAAACACACACTCACCAGTACATGAGGCGACAAATTACCTACTGAAAGGAAGAGTGTGGGCTCTCAGTGAAGCAGAACAGTTCATTTCACGCCTGTCCTCCTCGCCTCAGCCACCCGGAGTCCCCATGCCCCCTTCGCCTCCCCTGCGCCCCCCCTCACACTACTCCTCCAGTCATCAAGAGGAGGTTAAGCCCCATCCATCAAAAGCACTGATCATGGTTATTGATTAGAGCAATGACCAAAGCAGGAGGGAGGCCGGGAGCCTGTGAAGGAGCGGCGTTTCCCCCTCTGCAGAAATCTTAGTCAAATCGGGTAATTCACCATAAAAGCATCTAATGATCAGCCTTAATGACGAGCCCCTAACGACCCGTCAGCTCCCTCACAGCTCACTGCTTTGTGCTGACTGGCTCGGCACAGCTCTCTGCAGACATGCCTCCATGAACAGGAACACGGACAAAGTGCTTACATACACACAAAAAGAAAGGGGACAGATCTGCAGGGCATATAGCAAAATGTTTTTGTACAAAGATTAAATATAATTGGGAAAACATTGAAGGGCATTGCTTCAGCCTCCACCACATGATTGAATACTAAATCTGATTTGATATTACTGTCACCTCAGTGCAAGGAGGTCCTAGGTTTGGACCCAGGAGTCGCTTTCTATATGCCGTTTGAAAGCTCTCCCCATGTTTGCGTGGACTTCCTCTGATTCCTCCGCTCTCCTCCCACGCTGCAAGACATGCAGCATTTTTTGGGTTAATCCTGCCCTTGACCGGGGATCCGGGCTCAGAGCTGGAGTTGGTCCCTGGACGTGGTGCTGTGATGGCCCACAGATCCTAAAATAGTGAGCAGGGTCAAATGCAAGGGATTAGTAAGTGTGTCTCATGGTGAAACTTAACCTACAGAAAGAAAGTAAAGATTCGTCAAAGTCACAAAAAAACAGGGTGTCCCAGAAAACCGTTTACACAGGATTTATACTTTGCACGAGGTAAATGGATGCCATGTTCACTGGGTGACCAGAAAAATACTACCACTGTGACGCAGTCCTGTGATAAATGACAGCTCTTACAATGAAACCATGTTGTCGGAGAGGTGTTAATTCAATTCTACTGTCATTCTGCGGCTAATGTATGAGGTGTTAGTGAATTGAAGATGTAACGTTAAAAAGTATCTCTAATCTTTTCGTCCTTTCATATTGTGCATGCAATATACAATAGAGTTCAACTCAACACTACACCACAAACTACAGCAGAACATCTGAGACAAAACTGCTACAAAAAGCGAACATTTTAGTTACAAATAGTTATAAATAGTTTGTGGCGTATCCTACAAAACCCAGCAAGCATTAAGTTTGACCCTACAGAATAAAACAAGCTTTAACTGCTGATTAGACAGAACAAATTGGACATTTGAGTCTCAATCCTTCAAAAGCCCTTATTTAGTTTGGTTATAGCCTCAAGTGCCAATTTCCTACTGTATTGGTTTGAGGTGTTATGTACAGGTACACAACCCGTCATCAGTTTTACCTCTTCAACCCTCTTTGTATGTCCTTCTCTTATTTTCCTTTATATATACAGTTTATGTTGTTTCCCAGTTCATTATACATGTGTCCAATCATTATAGCCAAATCCAATCGTTGGACACATATAATGCACACGTTTTCCAGAACATTTACATTTGATGTAATGATGCAGACATAAAAACACAGTGTGTTGTGTGTGTATTTAACATGGTCATTAAGTATCCCCAGTCGAAACGAGTAAGTAAAACAGAGTGGATATCCTTTTCCTAAATCTCTTTTGCAGTCTGTTAGCAGGTGTATTATCATCCAGTCTGTCTCCTTGTATTTGTACATAATAAGGAGAAATTAGTTAATTCAGATTGAATGTCTTTTAAAACAAGTTTAAAAATTTCTGGCAAGGGTTAAGTAAACTTCAAACACATTATAAGCCTGCTGAAGAACAGACTCAGCGGAGGCCTGCGGGCACAGAGCACACATGTGCCATCAAGTGGTCAGAAAGGTAAATCTGCTGCAGCATCATCACTCAGTCTCCGCTGACTTCACTCATCATATCAACACTCCCTCCCTCACCCACTATCGAACACATCCACACACTTATTCAATTTGTCTCCTTGTCACATTCATATCCAGAGGTGGAAACTCTTGACTCCAGAGAGTTAACTGGAGAGATGAGAAGAGATGAGATGAGAGAGGAATCAGAGCTGTGGTTAATGGGCCGTGTCAAGAACAAACACACATTTGCGCAAGCATGCACGCATACAGACACACACACGCATGCATGCACACACAAACACACACACATGGAGCCTTGTCCCTACTAAACACACCTGAGTCTCTTCTAAAACAACGCATCAGCATTCATCTGAGACACCAAAATGTTTCTGCAGCCATTACAGAGGGAATACAGCATTACATTGTACAATGTGTGCAACTAGCATCAGACAAAAAGGGGAGAATACATGTGTTCAGACTGGGTGATAAGAAAACTACCTTTTGAAGGAGTTGGGATCCAGAATATTTTGCAGAAATTGATTTTATTTCTCCACCAAATGCAGAAGCCCAGAGCTTCACGCTAGAAAACAAAAAAGACAAATAACAGTTTAGTCAAAAATCTCCTGAGTATGTTAAGATGTGAATACAAATGAGTAAATAAATGTTAAGGAAATTGATTTAATTGAATATTTTTTCAAAAAACCCCATTGATAGTAAAGTAAGTACATTTATAGTAAATAATATTAGATGTTATTTTGAACATCAGTTAACGCTTTGAATGTTTTATCATTTTCTTCCACTGAATACTTCCTGTCCTCTCCTCACCCCAGCTCCTAAATGCCTTTAAGCTCTCCTCAGCTGTCCCTTTCTTTTAGCTTTTTTTTCCTGACACGATCAGTCAAAAGATTATGGTCATGGCCCATTGTCCCTGACCTTCACTCTCCTGACAGAGGATTGCTTGTAATTCTGATGATCTATACTGTAGTTACTGGAGCTCCTTCCATTAAACTGCAAATTACTCTGGCTGAGCCTGCAGTGGAACACTGTACCTAAACATTTGAACGAGATGCATTTAAACGTCCTTAGAATTTGTTTATAGGATTGGGAAATTGTGGAAAACTACATTAGGAAAAGTATTTTATAATATATAATTAAAAATAAGGATTTTCAGTTCTGAACAGTGTTTAACAAAAACAGCTGTTCTGATTTTCAACTCAATTGATGTACTGTTTGTAAGGGTTTGCTAAATATTTTTGAGATATTAAACCAAACAAACTATTAAAAGAACTTGCAGGAAATGTTACTGCAATCTTTTTTGCACATTTTTGCCTTTTTTAGTTTTGCACAAAATGTTAAAAATATATATAACTCTATAATGAGTGTAATCCTCAGACAGATTAACTTTTTGAATATTTACATATTATACTTTTATTTAGAATTTTCCATACTCTTCTCAGGTTTTAGAAACAATTTGAAAAACAACATTTCACAAAAACTTTTGCAATTAGAAAAGACAACAACCGTCTAGTGCAAATAACATCTGCTTTATAAAGACAATGTGATTCACTAACAGTGCATTATTGGCATTATATGTGGACTATTGGAAATTATTAGATTACACATATTAAGGCCCGCAGCATTGAGATTGCAACTTTAGAAATGTTCTTATAGATAAGGTCATTTTTTGTTTCGTTTAAAATAATTTCCTTTTTATCAATTGGAATTTTTTTAAATGTGTGATCAAAATATTTTATAGTTAAGATGGACACATATAATGATTATTATTAATTGACTGATTTATAAATTGCAGCCAAATATAAACCTCTTAGATCTAGCAGTTAAATCAACATTTCAGTTTCTCTACATGTTGTTATATTTTTAGTCATGCTACTTTTTTTGCAAGAATGCAAATGTGTCTTAACTAGGCCTGTGTGTGGTGTGGAAATAAACATACAATTAAACTTCACTTCTTAGTTTAAATGAATTCCCTGAATGCATTTAAAAATGTTCAAACAAATAAACGAATCTATCTGTACCTGTCCCTGTTCTATCCTCTTTAAAAAAGAAAAAGGGAAAAAAAGAATACAATTCTTCATTATTAATGTCTACATTTCCTTTGTGTAACAGATCAGCCTGTCAGGTAACTCATGTGAAACAAAGTTGCAGAGGTGCTGCTCACTCACACTGACAGAGGGATCCCTGGCTGGGACCCCGACACCTCCACCACATCCAGCCCGACGAGGGTCCAGAGCAGGAGCAGGCTGCTGCTACTGCTGCACATGTGCGAGAACAGGAGGCTCCACTTCCCCAGCATCTTCCTGAGAGAAAGTCTCTGTACAGTAAACACAATCCCGTCTCAGCCCCGTGCTGTTCTGCAGGACCGGTGCACCGTCTTCAGCCGCGAAACTGCCCGCACGTACCCTACTGTATATGAGAGAGAGACAGAGAGAGAGACAGAGAGAGAGAGAGAGAGAGAGAGAGAGGAAGAAAGAGAGAGAGAGATAGATAGAGAGTCACCCTCCAGCCTCTATACGCTGCTCATTCCGCCTTTTTACTCTGAAAGGGGACCCCCGCCCCCCCCTCATCCGGCTTTCTGCTGCAGGACCTTTTATTCCTGTAAGCGTGTCGTCTGCGTTTCTGCACCGGAGCCCGAAAAGCTCGAGGAGGTAAAATGTGCCGAATCTGCTTCCTGCAGACGAGGGGGGGTCCTCTGTTCAATCTCCAGCTGAGAATAGGAGCCTGGACAGGTGTTACCGGACACAGAGCTGCAGACAATATTTAAATGCAATTGCAAAATAATGAAATCAAACAGCCCTCTTAACTTTGCTTTTGTCTGCGACTCGCTTCTCTCCAGTCGACTGTTCAGAAGTTGTTGCATGAAACGCTGACGCTGCATTATACTGTACACGCTTCATGTATTGCATTGTCTCAAATCTCCACGCTGCACACACAAAACAGCTGCAAAAGCTCTATAACCGCAATTATATTTTGTAATGTATAGCATAATGAATTATTATGAACATAGAGGTTGAAATAAAAAGCACAGTATAAGGGGAAATTCTTGACTTACAATGGCTCTGTGGGCGATAATGGGACTGCAGGTGTTTGATGAAGGCTTCCGCAATGCCAGCAGCACAGTAACAAAAAAACAGTGCGCACACTGAGTTCAAATAGATACTAACACAATGACCAAAATAAGAGAGCCAGTGGTGGAACAAGTCTTCGAACTATTTGTTTTAGTAAAAGTTGCAAAACAAAAATCTCCATTACAAGTGTGTCAGCTCAAATGTCAGCTACAATGTCCCATTTATTGTGTATATCGATTAAAGTTAAAGTCAATATGGATAATATATAAAGATATTTTTATAGATTGGCATGGGACATATTTGTTATAAAAGGGAACGGGTATTGTTTTCTGCAGTATCAGCATGTTCCCATTTGAGCTTCTTTATGACATTCAATATTCAGCGGGAAGAAATGTGTTCTTTATTTTAACAGTGAATCAATATTACTTATGGTTTTTGGTGTGCCATAGTAACACAAAATGAATTATTGTGAATATCAGATTGGATTGTGTTTGTTTTCTGTTGATATAGACCCCTTTTTAACTGTGAGAAGAACTGTTACACTGTCCCCAAAAAAGAGAAGTCATACTCTAAGAAAATGGAGTTGTATAATCCGATATTCCTAATTACATACAAATACAAAGCACCTCATTAGAGAGGTTTAGTCCTCTAGGCTTGTTTTTTTAATGTACTCGGTTTGTCTATTAATCACAAAGCAAAAGTCATCAGTCAGGTCTCTGTGGGAGTGCAGAAGTTGTTAAGCTGTATCTTTGTCATTGTAGATCAGAAGCAGGTCTTAGGACAACGGAGACAACTCCGATCAGCTGTGGCATTGTACAGAGAGACACAGTGTCTTATCCACCTCACTAAAAACCCTGCCGCACTTCCTCCTGCTGCCAGAAAACAAGGGAACCAATTTATTACCATTACACCTGAAAGTAGGGGGAAGAAAGGTCTATTTCCTGCACTATCCTGGCTGAAGGTGATCAGGTGTCTTGCTCAGTAGTGAAGACATACAATAGGTACTCTCCATATCTCCTGTGGTGTGATGATCAGCAGTTCTTCAGAGACCGGAAGTCAACATCAGTGAATCCTCTACCATGGGCAGCCCAGTGCTCTGTCGTGATGATTGGTGAGTGGACATCAGGGATACTGTTCCTGTTAACAGGGGACATCGCTGTGCACCTGAATCCAGCATGGACTTCTGTCGCAGTCAGCCAGGCCTGTCAAAACAGAGGAAAGAACTGCTTGTCCACCCCCCTTCCTCCCCTCCTTATACCAAATGAGTTTCCTTCTTAAAGTCAGCATACTGGAGGGCATGTACAGTGTAAGATGGATGGGCCATCACATGCACATTAAGGGCTTTCATCAGTTTGATGAAGTCAAACTTGTAGACATTGCAATCTAACAGGAAGACATGTATTGGTAACTACTCTGTAAACATCTGACCCAGTACACAAACGTTGCAACATTTTCTGAACAACGATAAACCCCCCTCACCCCTTCCCTTTTGAGATGGCCATTGTCGACTAAATGTCCCCGCTGCATGAAGGCTGTAACGACTGACTTCTTTCTCCTCATCACTTACCTCACGGCTTACTTACCTCCGCAATCACACACATTGAGCCAAACAAGTCTGGCAACCGACACTCATTACAATTCCAAGATGTGATGGAACATATATGATGTGAAGTTCATCCAGCAGATTTTCACACCGTTGAAATCACTTTTCAGGGTTCAGCCCCGCTGCAAGAGCCTCTGGTTATTTAGTGCTGAAGTCTGGTTTCCAACTCAAAACATGTTGAAGGCAATAATACCCAGCAGTTCAGTTTACTTCTGAGAAGCCCTTGATATTATTGGCCTTTGCATAGCCAGAGCCTGTCACTTTGCCAGCAATGCCTATTTGCAATAAATAAAGGAAACATTTAGTAGCCTATCTGTCCTTTCTCAACCCAATCCTGTATTCAATAATGGCACCCCTCATTTTGTCTTTCCTCTAACCATTTTATTGATACTTTTCCCATAGGTTTTTATCTTCTTCTCTCTCTATTTCCTCATATCTGCCTGTCCTCCTGCCATAGTAATTTAGCCTGAAACATATGAAGAACAATGAACCTGTTCTGCGCCTTCAATTCTGTATCACTGTGTTTGTCATTTTAGCTGAAAAATCGTGTCCTGCATTGAAAATGTCACTGAAGTACAGCCAACTTAAAGCAAGCACAGAAAACGTCACCTACTCATAAGGCAGAGCTGCTTTTGTCAGTGTTGTCATATTACTATAATAGGCCTACTGTAATAAGGCTTTAGGTAATGTTTTTGTTGATCAAGGTGGAGCTAAATGTAACTGTATCTCAAATAATTAGTTCAATTTGTAATAGTAAATTAAGTTTTATAGGTCTTAACAAAACTTGTGTAAACTCTTCTGAGAAAAGAAGCCAACAATATGTAGCCTACTGCTAAGATGTGGTGGAGTATAGGTGTAAGGTAGCATAAAACCGAATCAATTCTAGCACACTTGGACAAAAAAGTGACTTCCAGGAGTGCATTTAAAATAAATGTGTTTACTTGGTTTCGTTCTGGAAATACATAAACACAAACACATCACTGAAACGTATGGAAAGATGAAAATCGTCGGTTGTAAACGCTTACACGTGTAAAACACAAGGCAAAATGTCCTCTTGCACTTAAAAACAAACAACTCACAGAGACTCACGATATCCTGCACAAATACACAAGCTAGCAAGCTTTAACAGGTTCCACTCCGGATGTCCATATCAGCTAACAGGTGAAGCACTGTTTCACACTCCTCATTTAACCGATATTAAACTCAAATCTGAACCACCAATAGTTAATTTAATGTATAAGTTAATTATACATCTGTGTCACTACTTTTATACACATTTTAACCACTTTTTCTCACCTGAAAATACATAAACAAAAGCCCATCTGCGACGTCAACAAAACTGCGGGCTCCGTCTAATGACTGGAGCCGATCGTGCATCTCACCTGGAACCCTGAGCTGCCCCAAGTGCCTGTGTGAGCTTCACTCATTGTAACTCCAACTTAAAATACTATCTATAACTGCTATTGCACATGAACATATGAGAAGATTACAGGTTCATCTATACAAAATAAATACTGTGGGTCCCCCATAATCAAGTAAAATACCTCAACATTTTACCTAAACTGCAATACTTGAGCAAATGTGGGCCTACCATAAACTACATAGGGCCTGATTATGTTCTTCTGTAACTTTGTATATTTATCTATGATTAACTGAAATATAATATTTCATCACTTCGGCCAATGACATGACCCCAGAGACAGATGTGTAGTGAATGGTGGAACAACTTCATGTATGAAGTATGAAGTTTTGGTCAGTTTGCCACATTCATCAGTGCTTACTACAGAAACTAAGACCCATAGATGTTCCCATAGTCATCTCTAAACGCTGATTAGGAAGCGATAATGATGTCACGACAGCAGGCGGGATGATGCACCACCTTCACCCCTCCACCACCACAGGAACCGTGTTTCCACTTGAAGCTTTTATTAGTTCAGTAATTGCATCGTACATCAAAGTTGTGAGGAGCCTGTACTGTCTGGGACGTGCCGATAAGGCGCCTGCATGTTGGATGACGGACAGTATCATCCAGTCTCTCTCACAACACCGCCTCCCTCAATGCTTTAATTAACTATCGACGGCGAATAAAAGCAGTTCTCTGTCACAATCCTGAAGAAAGTCCTGTAGTTGTATTTGTCTGGTTAAAAAACAACACCTGCAGCTCAAGTATTGCTGATGTACCCTGAGCAAGGAATATGTAACCTGCTTTGGGGTCATTGCACGACGAGTCTCACCACTATCATTTATGCAAGAGGATAGAAATGTCATGACCTCTGCCCACAGAGTGCAGTGGGTCAAAAAAACATATTAGTAGGTTGGTAGGCATTCACCAGATGTCAACGGATTGATGGTGTATACTGCTGCATGGCCAGTGATTTGTTGCACTGTTGGTGCTTGTTTTCAAATATTTATTGTGGTGCATTTCGTGGGTTGAAGCAAACATTTAATGATCTTAATGATATTTATAAAACATATGTGCTTTGCTTGGAAAATTCAACTGTGCCTGAAAGTGTTTGTTTCCTCAAAAAGGTCCTCTGCCCCCTCATTGAAAAACACATACTTTAATAACATGTGCTTTTAGGTTTTCCTCATCAGACTTGCGTACAGGGCATGGCATACAGTACTGGATCAAGATCAGCTCCTAAGCTAGAACTCAGATTAAGTTAACCAAGGCTGAAGGTATTTCAGGACTTGTTTATCTGGCTCGATGTAGTCAAAGACTTAACATCTAAGGAAATAAACACATCTTCAATACAAATTGACCATTCTTTGCCATGTACTGTAAACAATGAGATTAAAGTATTGCACATCGGAAATGTACACATACACATATATTAGACCAATTTATACCCCTCTTGATCTTCAGAAATTGAAAGCAAATGTATAAAGAATACATCTAACACATGTATTTTACCAATGTTTACTTCACTTACAGAACATTATTGACTCAATTGAAATCTTGCATATTGTGTAAAACTTCATCCTAATGTCAAAATGTAATATAAAATTGAAATTGTATTTATGATTTTGAAGCCTAACCTTTCAAAAGTCTAGGGGAAACTCTGGTTTATTCTTTCTTATTTAATAGTTTATAATAATAATAATAATAATAATAATTATATACAGTATGTATTTTATTATTATTATTTATATGTTTTTATTTATAATGTTGAGCATGTCTGAAATGTTTGTAAATGGGAATGTTTTTATTTCTATGAATAAAGGAAATAATACAAACAAAATTTCATTCTAAAACGATCTAAACTTCCACTAAAATCTCCTTGCTAGTGTCAACCTTTTCACCGTTATCTGGCACAGGGACAGGGGAGCTCAAACATCACAGTGAAACCCTCTGATGTTAAAGGAGCTCTCACTGCAGGAACAGGGACCAATTCTTAAGCTGACTTGCAGAAAACAATGTTTTGTGTGAAGAAGGTGTTGCTTGAATAAACAGCAAGCTTCAAGTAGTTTTGTAGATTTAGTAAATTGGTAGTCCCAAAATCAAGGCTAAAGCAGCGAGGAGACAGAGCCTTTGCTGTTCCAGCTCCAAAATTATGGAACGAATTGCCCCTCCAGGTTAGACTTGGTCCAACTCTGCCTGTTTTTAAATCTCGTTTAAAAACCCACTTCCTTTCCCTGGCATTTACAGGCCAGGTGACACTTGTGCTTTTAAATGTGGGTTTTTATCTTACTAGTGTTTTGTATTGTTTTTACATCATGTAGAGTTTTTCAGTCTGTGGCTTCTGATCTGGTTTCATTGTCTCGTGTTTTACATTTGTTTCATCTCCTGTCTATTTTGTATGTATTTATGCTATGTTTTTATACAATTGTTGATGCACAGCACTTTGTTCAACTCTGTTGTTTTTAAATGTGCTTTAGAAATAAAATGGATTGGATTGGATAGTAACTGACGCAGTGTTTTCCCTTATTTTATGGGTTTAACTGCCCTAATTTCTTACTGAAGTTTAGAGGGATATTAAATCCTCTATCATTTGCTTTCCAAGTTGATGGATTTGGTTTGAAGCGCAGCATCTCAATCGGTATTGCCAACACATTTAAAACTTTTATCTAAAGAAAAACAACAATTGTGATTCATGGTAAACTCAGAAGCTTTTTTAGGGGGCTTTTAACCATTTTGCAACATTTCAAGCAAAAAAGATAACTAAAAAATCAGGAATGAGACGAAAACTATTTTGAAAAGAGATACAAATATAGTTATATAGCTTTAAAACCAGAGCCAGACTGCTTTCACAAACAACTATAATCTCTTTCTTGACTTGATTGGACATAAACCTCTTACAGGGTGAAACTTTGGCACCTGTTGTCGTTCAGTCTTGAGGATTACACTTCAGGGTTTACCCCACCTCGTGCCCTCAGCAGCCCAGGGACCATTCATGTCATACCAAGTACAACTGTTGACTTATTCTCATCCAGCGAGCTTTAAATGCAGAATAATACATCTGACCTCTTTGAACCTTAGAGGCTGTTCAGTGATGTACAAACCTATTGTCACATTCAGGTGTCTATAAAGGTTAAATGACTTGTAAATATGTTGAATAGAGATGTATGAGTGAGTGGGTCTAGACTCTCCATTATGTACCTAATTAAAAGCTTAACCAGTTACTTCACCAGTTTGTGAAAATCACTGGGGATAATGGGATCTTAGTGTGGGAACGTATATATAGTGTAGTGTGTATGTCCCATTCTTAAGCTGACTTGCATAAAACAATGTCATTTGAAAGGCATAAATATAAAGGTACGACGGTCAACTTTAATCTCACTTAATGTTTTAATCCACATGTAAATAACATTTCAGGAGGTGGACAAAATAGCCCAAACAGCTCCATATAATACAATTTTAGTGAAGTTCATGTAATGTTTAATCTACCAAAGATGGTATTTATTTGTACTCGCAACCTAGTAGTTTACACTGTTGTGTATCAGATGATTCAATTAAATCTGCAATATTTGTCTACAGTCAGGTTTAAAAGCTTTTTCGTTGTAATCCTGTTTGGCAACCACATAAAAACATTGTCTACTAAATGAATGTACATAGTATACTCCACCACGCTCTGTGGAGGATAAAGACCTATAGCTGCAATTTCTTTACTTGTGATTTATTTGTGCAGTTAGTATTCCCAGTGTGCAATGAGGTTTTAAAGCAGGTTTAAATCATTCGAAAATTCTCTGTATTCGGTTTGAAATTAAATAAGTTTATCATGTTTTACATGCTTTCATATCTCCTTGTCTCGATTAATCTACCGTATTTGTTACAGGCTGTTAGAGCCTGTTGGAGAAGAAAAGGGTTCAACACAATACATAAGAGTCCTTAATTGCACAAAATAAGTTTATGTTCTATTTTATTTTAACAGTTATTACTAAATGTATTGGAACAACTCTGTATAGCGCTTTAGTCAAGAGGTATTGTTCTTACATGTGCTGCTGTAAATACATTGACCTGACTTGATACTAATTAAACTTTATCTGACCCCTGGTGTGTGTGTGTGTGTGTGTGTGTGTGTGTGTGTGTGTGTGTGTGTGTGTGTGTGTGTGTGTGTGTGTGTGTGTGTGTGTGTGTGTGTGTGTGTGTGTGTGAAGAGAGAGAGAGATAGACATAATGAGAGACTTAACAAGTGAGGGAAAGAGCCAGACATCATCAGCTCTCATTAATATTTACTTTAACTACATTCTTGTGACACATCTTCTCTGATAATTTATTTTTCACACTTTCTCAGTAGACTGAACCTGGTGAGAAGCACTGCAGAGATGTTCTGTACCTTACAATCAGGAAAAAAGGTTAGGGATCAAGGATCATCATTTGGAGGAATTACTCTTTGTTAAATCCAGATCTGAAGGACTTATGCTTAGACCGAGGGCATCTGATCCCCGATGTCACACTTGAGGAGTGAGAAATTGAACACCTAGGAACTCCGGGAGGAGGAAGAGGAGGAAACTACTCGACAACTCTGCAGGAAAAGAAAGCTTTGTACCATGCATCCATCTGCTGTGCAAAATGCTTCCTACTACATGGGCCCACATGGGGAACCCTCTCTGTCACGCACTGGCTTCCTCATCCTCTCCATCATTATGGCAATTTTTACCGTTCCGGCCATCATACTCAACGCTACAGTGATCATCGTGTCCCTCTTGCACAAGCAGCTGAGGCAGCCGCTCAACTTCGCTCTGGTGAACATGGCTGTGGCTGACCTGGGAACAGCTATGACTGGAGGGGTCCTGTCCGTGATCAACAACGCCCAGGGGTACTTCTCCCTGGGAAGAACAGGCTGTGTTATGGAGGGCTTTGCAGTGTCCTTTTTTGGTGAGTAAAAGAGAGTATAGGTTGAGTACTCTTCTTAAACTGTTCATAGTACTATTACGGATTTACGATTCAACATGCATATCCTTTCCAGAAATGTTACATTTAAGTACATTTTTACAAGATAACTAATTTCATCCCATACATTTTTGCTAACAACATTTTTAACAAATTCCCCATTTCCTTTCTCCTCACTTCTCCACAGGCATCACATCTTTGTGCACAGTGGCTCTGATTGCAGTGGAGAGGATGTTTGTCGTGTGTAAACCATTGGGACAGATTACCTTTCAAAAAAAGCATGCGTTAGGAGGCATAGCCTTGTCCTGGCTGTGGTCCCTCACCTGGAACACCCCTCCCCTGTTTGGCTGGGGCAGGTATGAGCTGGAGGGTGTCGGGACGTCCTGTGCACCGGACTGGCACAACCGAGACCCTCACAACGTCTCCTACATCCTGGCTTACTTTGCAGTGTGCTTTGCAGTTCCCTTTTTCCTTATAATAGCATCCTACTCGAAATTAATGTGGACATTACACAAGGTTAGCACGTATACATGTTGCTTCATGTGGTGAAAAGTAGCTACATGCATTTACCCAAGTACTCTCCATTTCTTTCTTTACATTTTTTACGTCATTTACTCACTATTTAATACTACTGAGGTACAAGGTCAATATTCCCATACTAAAATGTTACTATTAGAATCACAAGATGTATCTGAAATCTGTAGTTACTGACTTCAAAGAAAAATTATTTAGATTGCCAAGAATTTGCTAAATTTATAAAATACAGGGAATTGTTACAGATTAAACCTGTGACTCTCAACCAAACAAAACATACATTCAGATGTCTGTCAGCTGGTAACAAGTCCTGCCAGCCTCTCAGCTGATTTTATTTAAATGACTTTAGGCTGAAAAAGGTTAAATAAAACAATACTTTAGAAAAAAGGTGACACAATTGTTGATTCAGATTCATCATGTAACCCTTTGGATGCGGACAGAACAAATCGACTTAACAGGATATTTATAATTAGCTCAACCTAAATAATAAGCTTAACTTAACACTGCTTATTTGTTGACTTAGTATTAACAATGTGATCATACATCATAATTTATTCCACACAATGGCCATTTTACTGCAGAATGATCACTTTTATTTTGTATAATTTACTTTTTATTGAATATACTTGCAATTGAGTATATTTTCATTGCTGTATTGGTACTTATTGTATTTTTAATACTTTTTCTAAAGAGGAATATTGTATAGCTTACAAAGCGATATGCAACGGTTGTCCTTATTGAAACCAAGGCTTTGCATTCTTGTGGTGTGATCCAAAGACCATTGGACCCATAAGTGTTTAAAAACATACTCTGCTCCCACAGGTATCCAAGATGGCCTGTCTGGAAGGCGGTGCGGTGGCTAAAGGAGAGGCGAAGGTGGCGTCCATGGTGGTTTTGATGGTCCTCACATTTCTCATCAGCTGGTTGCCTTACGCCGGCCTGGCCATGCTGGTGGTCTACAACCCGGATGTGGAGATTCACCCGCTGGTGGCCACAGTGCCTGTTTACCTGGCCAAGAGCAGCACTGCGTACAACCCTATCATCTACATCTACCTCAACAAACAGGTAATGTTACTCCACGCATAGATAATAATTGCAGGTCTCCCTTGAAAAAGAGATTGATGATCTCAATGGGATTCACCTGGTTAAATAAAGGTTTGAAATTAAATGAAAATAATTGAATTTAGCCAAAAGAGATTAACAACATGCAGGTAATAAACCTTGCAGTGAATCGGCCCTTAAATACTTAGCTCCATCTAGTGGTGTTGATGGACAGTGTTTAAGGATAAAGGTTTAAAGACGTTTCTACAATTTAATGTAATATTTACATGTTTTATTGGGTATACATTTTGCATATTCAAATTTTTTAGTCTTCCCTTACAATTAAATGCATTTTTTATTCTGAATTATTTGTCAACGCTAAACAAAAAACAGAAAGAGTTTATGTACCTGACTGAATTACAACATGTTGTAACACTTTACTTGAACTCCCCCGGCAAGTCGTTTTTATGCACAATTTAAACATTTAAATGGTTTTAATGTATGGTATTTGTATATTGTCTGTTTGTTTTAAAATATCCTATATTGACTTATTATTATTATTATTACAACAGTGTTACAACTACAACTTATTATTATTAAAATGTAAAAAGTTTTTTTGACACAACAGGAAAGAATGAAACAGAGAGGAATCAATAAAACACAAACACAGATATAGCTGATCAGTAATTATTATTTGATATCATCATCATATGAATTGTTTGCATTTTTTTTTTATAATAACGCAGCTCTAACTTGCTGCAATTTTTTTGTCAATATGTTTAAAGAAGACAGTATGTGTTTGCTGAACTTTTTAGGGCTCATTTTGTTTTTTTACAGTTTCGTAAATACGCAGTTCCCTTCCTGCTGTGTAGGGCAGAGCCTTCGGAGGACGAAGAGACATCAGAGATGACGACTGTGGAGAGCAACAAAGTGTCTCCCGACTGAAATGTATACAAACATCAACCATCTAATAGATTTCTGGCTGAAATGTTCACAATCCAGATTGCACATCTTTGCTTCACAAATATCAGCAACACTATAGCTCCAATGTTTAAATGTGTTCTTATTTTTTAAATGATGGATTGATGGTTAAGACTAATATTTCTTCGACTTCACATGTAGAGACTGAGTGGTGAGGAAAACAGTGTCATGTTTTGTGCAGAATACAAATAAATGAGAACAGTAATTCAGCATAAGTTTATTCAATGATGATCAATAGAAAATAAAATATCAGTTTCGATTCAAATAAAGTCAAGGCCAAAATAAAATGAAAAATACAAAAAAATGTATTGATATAAAACCTAGAAGGTTATAGTAAAGCATTTGCTACTAAGAGAAATGATGTTTACTGAATAAAAACATTAAGGAGCAAATATCAAGACTTTCAAGTAGAGAACATTACCATGGGTCTTTCCATACGTTTGTACATATTTTACATTATCTTCTATTTTAATACAGCTTTCAGAACATTAATAGTTGTAAGAGTAATTATAATCATAACAATATGAAGAAAACTAATAGAAACGTTCAAATCAATAATGTGTTTCTCTGTAAACCGGTACTCTACCATTTTATTTTTTCCCCTACCTGCGAACAGAGAAACAGTGCACCTTGAAAATATTTTTTTTAATACTCTTTCATTCCCAGCATTGTAAGGTGAGGTGTAAATGACAAATATAGATTCCACTAAACCATACACACAGTCACAAAAAGTACAAAATTGTCTCACCTTAATACACAAATCTGTTTAGAAAAAGGAGAAACAAAAGCACTATACAGTCACTTGTGCAAAGACAAACAGCTATGTGCTAATATTTAAATACCATTGGTATAGACCAAATCATCTTTTCTTTTTTCAGGAATCCCTGACATGAGGTAAAAGTAAGTTCTTTTCATCTGAAGTTTAACACAACTTTTAAAAGTGTTTACAAAATAATGCATATCTTCAGTTCATCAGTACTGTATTTGCTACGAATAGTACAATGTGCCTGTTATGTGCATTGGTCCTTTTATATGACAGTCATCAACAAAAGGACTAGAACACATTTTTTTTTACTCACAAACAATTCAAAGAGCCCTTTCAATGTGCACACAAAATGGAAAACCTACATTTTCATGACAGTATTCGGTTGAATTAGAGTACAGAGCGCACTCGCCTACAAATCAAACACTCATGAACGACACATTAACCCTAAATATCCCAGGTGCTGATTCAAACTCTCAATGGTAATGCCTGAAAAAGCCCACTTTTTACTTAGTCCAGTATCAGTATTGTAATAGATAAATAAAGGAAAATTGATAAAAACCTAAATATACTTTATTGTCTTGTGTTCAAACTTGTGGGCTTCATTTGCTCATTTGTATGCATCCATGTTGAGTTTTCCCTCCTAGCCTCATTGGTAAAATATGATAAAAACACAAAGTCCAGGTTCAATCCCAATCTCTTTCACAGACTTGACTGCGGGACACTGACAGACAGGTAAATTGAGACAATGATATGTTGTCACGTTGCCTAACGAGGTATACTGTACGCACCAGGCCGGCTGAGAGAGGGAAGGGGGGGGGGGGGGTGTAGGTAGTGCGTTAGCTCTCTCCAGCATCCTGACAGCAGGACCACCTCTCGTCCTTCCTTCCTACTAACCACGGTTACGGACGTG